TGTAGTCAAATAGCTGTAGCTTTTGTTTCTTATTATGTCTAGTTGTGGACAACAGTTCTAGGAATATCTCATTTCCTTTGTCATCCTAGCTGAAGGGGGAAAATGAGCTCTGATTTAAGATCCTATTTCCCAACAGCTACTTCACAAGCTAGCTACTATACTTAATCAACAATGAAGCTATAAATACACACACCTTGTTATTTCAATGTTTCACTTGATGAAACATGAGAGGCCACTAGTGGACAGCTGGAATAAGAATGAAGGATTGCTGCAGTAGCTCCTTGATGACCTGATATAATGCAAACTTGATGATAGAGGCAAAACTGGGGGGGGTAGGGCAATATTTCACTCTGCCAGGTTTCAGTGACATAGACCACATCAGGGCCATTATCCATGATGGAAATGTAGATATGTTGCAAGTTATTAGGAAGAGACAGGCTGTTTAATAAGGAAACAAAAGAGAAGATAGATTGAAACAGCAGGGTCCACCGCTTCCAACTAGGTGAACTATCCCAGGAAAGAATAGCTGACAGACTTTTAAGAAAGAAGCAACACTACTTTTCCTCAGTCAGGTGTGATGTATTGCAACCTGAAGGGACCTTTTGCATCTGAAATATTAATGAGAGGCATCCAAAAGCAGAAGATGAGATCTGGTTGAACATAAATGAAAATACTCTGATAAATATGCCACCTATAGGTAAGGTATATAGAGGATATATCGAGGAGGAGGTAGAATATACAGGGAGTAGTTTACAAAAGTACTCACAGATAACAATCCATCTTCTACAGGAAGTGAAGATGGATTGAGCTAAAGATAATGTCCAGATCATCTGCAACATGTTATGGCATCGACACTCTGCATTGTTGCTATAGCAAAAGAAAGGGTAAAAACAAAATAAAAAGAGACAAAAAGATCAGTGAAAATGATCTGCTTCCTCCCATACATGCCTTTATTACAGAATTTTGCTTCCAAATGTGCCTGCCCCTCTGCATATATTCACATGAATTGAGTAGACAGGGTTTCAAGGGACACAGCAAATAATGAGGCTCTATGAAAACAACTTGCAGAGCCTTAAATTTCTGAAATTCTTTCAATGAAAAAATGTCAACTGCTTAGAAAGCCCCACCTTTAAGAGGGAAACATCAGCTTCAATAAAGTGTTTTCTCCACAAATAACACATGTTTCTTGTGAGCCTAAAGGAAGAGAGAAAAAGACTTCACAAGAGCCAGTTGCACAGGGACATGATTCGGAATAGGGACAGGAACACAGATCTCTCCAAACACTCCCAAATGTGCTAACCACCGAGTTTCTGGTAGTTCACTTATGATCCATGCTAGAATGAAAACACATTCTGAACTATTCCAAAATTTAGGCTATTTCAAATAAAAGGAGTGCTATCATCTAGCAAATCCTAATCTCCAGTCCCAGAGATACAGCAAAAGGATCAAAGCTATTTCAATATCCACTGCTGGCTGTGTAGCATCACATCACATATTTGCAACACTTGCATAGACATTCTCTAGAAAATCAGCAGTAACCCCTCTGGAAATTAATTCTTTTCTCTTTGTACCACAAAAGAGCATACCACATTTTAATCCCTTTTCAGTGTATGAAAATCTTTCCCTGTTGGGATTTAAAAGAGAAATTAATCCCAAAACAGTGATTCCAGTACGATTCACAGCCCTCCCATAAACTCTTCAGCACTGTTTCAGGAGTAATTGACAATGCAGTTACATTGTTGGTGATATAAAAAGGACCCCACTGCAGTATTTCTTCAGTGTCTTATGACTTAAGTGCAGCAGGTATTTGCTGAAGCAAATAAACTATCCAGTAAATCCTCTGTAACATCCTGGGGTGGGGAAAAGAGATAATATTTTCAAACGGCTGCTACTGTAGAGATCTTTTCATGACCCATCTGGGAAAAAAAGGCCATAGCTTAACTGGATAAGACGACTTCACTTAGTTTCCCTGCAATAAAGATGAAATCATCACTGGGCAGCAACACACTGAATTTTAAGCTCAGTGCATGGAAAGAATATTTTGAGGACCATTTTTCTTTTTCCTTTCATGTTGATCAATTAGTGAAGCACTCCATCATCAGAGTTCATGATCATAAATGTAAAGTGATTTAAACTCCAGAACTCCCAAGAAGCCACAGGAAATTTTCCTTCCTTACGATTATGTTTTTAATAAGTTGGCAGTGTGGCAGAGCCTCAATGCTGAATTGCAAATATCAGATTTAAAAATTCCTGCCTGTGCAGCACAGAAGCACGATGCAAAGAGGCTGGGCAGGGGCTGCTATGCAGCGCTCTGGTATCTGAGCCAATACCAAGTTCATCTGCAGACTTTTGCGTCTTTTAAGAGTAATGAATATTTAAAAGCTCCACCACCAGCTCAAATGGGAAAGAAGACAGAGATCTGATGTTCTGATCTGGCTGCTTATATAGACAGCCTTGAATAACACCATGGCAGTTGTGGCCAACTGCACAAATATTACCAGTCACTGAATTAGCAGATAGTGTTCTCATTATCGGAAGATGCACAACACTGCATGGGTACTCCTACTGAGCATAAGGCTAAAACACTGGGTTTAACAGATGCAGTAGTATTCTCTTCAATGGGATCAGGATATACTGTAATAACTAATTTTTTAAACTTAGATTCAAAGAGTCCTGCCAGTATATGTTGTAGTGAACCTGTCCTTAAAACATTCAATATAAAAAAACCTTCATATTTGGTGTGCTTCTTTTGATGTCTAAAACAGAAGCAAAAAGGGGTCCCTTTATCCAAGCTTGGCCATGCCTGATTCAGTTTTGTTTGCATCCTGCTGAGACAATCCCACACCCTTGCAGACAGGATGCAGTTAACTATTAGCATCTGCCAGAGTGAATCAGCAGGATCTATACAACTTCTCACTGCAGACGTCCATGCACTGCAAATCAAGGAAGGCAAGAGAAAAATGCCTGGTTATATCCCTGATTTAGACAAAGTCTAAGTTCCTTAAAATAAGCTGGGATATTTTTTCAGGGAAAAAAACCCAACAACAAACCAAGGACCAAACAAAACCCCAAACAAACAAACAAAACTAAACAACAGGTTAATTAGCATATGCCAGAGATTGCAAAAGTATATTGCTTCCTTCCAATAAACCACAAGGACACCACCAAAGCCCAGCAACAACAAACATTTCAAAATCGTTAGGTTGTATAGTTAGTTTTTCCTCTCAAGTGCACAATTAGCATTATTAATAATTTAATTAAATGTGTGTTATACATAAAGAAATTGATTTTTATTTAGGAATAAACATCTTTTCTATAAAGCCTTTGGAAGGCTGGGGGTTTTGTTTTGTTGGCTTTTGGTGTGTTTTTCCAGTGAAATTTTTATAAGCACAGAACTAGAGATGACTCAGAATTTTTATTAAGAGAATTGGGATGAATATTTGCGATAAGACAGAAGGGATAAGTTTATTGCAGAGTCCCACAGTTTTATAAAAAAATGCTAAAGCTGGAGCTTGTTGAACTCTGGACGTTGTATTAGCAGGCAGAGGCAGGGAATACTAATCACAGAAAACTCACAGGAAATCTAAGAAATAAACAACAGGGTCAGGGACTGAAAATTTCTGACAGATAAGCTTTGTGCCAGAAATGTTTTAAAGATGGTAAAAAATACTGCAAAACTGCCATGAAATAATGGAAGAGGGCATCACTTTCTTCCCTGAGAAATCTGTTCTCATTTGGGCATGAATCACGACACACTTGAAAGTGAGACCCTTCTTCTCCCGAGCTGTAAATTACACACGTACAGTATCACTCACGCAAAGCACGTGGGTCCAACCAGCAGCAACAGCTGCCAACAAGTCCTTCATGGAATTGCATCCTATCCTGTTCATACAGCAGAAGGTGCCAACAAGCTGAAACTACATACACCCTTAATTGGCAAAAAGGAGAAGCCATTGCACATACATGAGCCTTTCCCCACTATTTAAGTTTGAAAGAGTATCCCCACCACCTTGTTGGAAAACCATAGCAGAATACAAAGAGGTAAGGAATTAACGTGAAGGTTTTATGCATGGGAGCAGCTTCAAAATAGAAATATGATGTCAATTTCTCTTACAGTGAAAACCACAGCAATTAAATCACTTTGGTGAACACAATTATTAAAATTTTCTGCACAGTGACTACATGGAAAATAAATGAGAAAATCCAGCCACAGAAACCCACTACAGTAATCAACAGAGAAAAGGTAAGGATATAACTGTATTAGCTTTAAATTAATGCTGTTGTTGGACAGATGAGATATGTGCTAGAACAAGATACATGAATAAATTATTTGCATAATTTCCAAAAAAGCATATTAATTTATTGCAAATCAAGAAGAGTGTATGCCTTTTTTTACATAATTTCAAGGTAATGGACAGGAAAATAGGAACCGTAGGCGTTCCTCTTAGAGACTTGGGGGAAAAAAACAATGTCAGGATGAGAACTGTTGCATGATTTCATAATTAAAGCTGGAATCCTGAAGTCTGTACTGTGAAATTGCATGATTTTTTTTTTTAAGAACCAATAAGTTATTGCCCTCACTGTTAGAAACTTGCATTTCAGTCTGTAATTCCCAAGATTCAGCTTCCAGCTGACCATTCCCAGTGTATCTCCTTTTCATAGTTTAACCCCAGCCAGCAGCCAAGCACCACGCTGCTACTCACTTCCCCACCAGCAGAATCGGGGAAAGAATCAAAAGGGAAAAAGCTGGAAAACTCATGGGTTGATATAAAGACAGTTAAATGTGAAAAGCAAAAGCCACACACAGAGGCAAAGAAAAACAAGGAATTCATTCACTTCTACCCAAGGGCGGGCAGGTGTTCGGCCAACTCCAGGAGAGCAGGGCCTTATCACAATGATTTGGGAAGACAAACACCATCACTCGAAACATGTCCCACCCCCTTCCTTCTTCTTCTCCCCACTTTATATACTGAGCATGATGTCATATAGAACAGAGTATTCCTTTGGTCAGTTGGAGTCACCTGTCCTTTCTGTGTCTCCTCCCAACCTCCCATGCACCCCCAGTCTCCTCGCCAGCATGGTCGTATGAAAAACAGAAAAGGTTCTGTGTAAGCTCTTCTCAGCAATAACAAAAATAACAAAATAACAAAAACATCAACCCTATGTTCAGCACAAATTCAAAATAAAAGCCACCATGAAGAAAATTAACTCCACCCCAGCCAAAACCAGCACATTCCTAAATTCATTGGCCTTGAGCTGTGAGACAGTCTCTTGCTGCATAAGTACTATGTCACTTTTAAATGTCCTCTGCAGTGAACTAGACTTCTTTTTTTTGCTCTCTTGCAAGAAATACAATGATGAAATGTCGGAAAAAGCCGTGTAGTTGTCTTCTGAACTTTTCCCAGCTAGTCAGTGTACTTGTAAATAAGTATGAGGACAACACATTTGCATTGAGTATTCTGGTAGTACTCTCATTAATGCCAAAACACCAAAACAGTAATAGCATGGCTACATTTTCATTCAATATGTAGCCCACTGAAATTTCCTAATACTACACTTGTCGTTTCTGGCACCAGCCTGTAATGGGAGCTCAGTTCAAGCTCACAGTCACTGCACCTCCTGGGACCCTGAGCAACTGACCCCACATCTGCCCATCCATGCCAGGCAAGCAAGTGCTGCTCACTGATGGTTGGCCTCCCTCTCTGGCTGTGGTACTCATGTCATTTTGGGAAGATAATCTTCTCCCGTGATAACCCTAGTACTTCTAAATAGCTCTTCTGTCTTTGCTTAACACTTCACACAGAATCACAGAATTTGCTGAGTTGGAAGGGACCCACAGGGATCATTGAGTCCAATTCTTAGCCCTGCACAGGACCATCCACACTTCATTAACTTATTCTCTGAAACTCTGTCAGCAATTACTTTGTTCAATACTACTAAAATTAAAGAAAACCCCACATATGAAAACCCCACATAAAGAAAAGCCCACAAGAACATGGGCTTTCTACCCTACCATCTCCCTCTCCCACCCTTGCAGAGGACAAGCATAGCCATTTCAAACAAAGCATCTGAACCTGATCATTGAAACATCTTAATTATTACATTTTTATTCACTTAATATATGCTATAAATATATGATATATTGATTTCATTTGACAGTAATTATTTTTCTAATCATAATGTCACTCTGCCAAAAGTCAGTTGTTTTACTGGAGTCCGTGACAACAGTGCCTTTATCATACAGATTTGTAATTTAATTAAAACTGATACCAAAGAAATACACGAACTGTTTATTATAAAACCATGTTGAATAACACTCATTAGAATGAAGGGATTACAGCTTACACTGTTATCATTAATTGTTATCATTCTTTTCATGATTTGTTAAGGACTGATAAAACGCCAGTTTAAAGCTACCTAGCACCTCCTGTCAATTTATAAACATACAGACAAAACATTAGCTTTCAGTGTGTCCTCCATATCTTCTGTAGGGCTCCCAGAGATGTTTAACTCAAGTAGTTTGGAGAACTCCTCAGCCAGTTGTTTCAGCCCTCCTGGCTGCACTGCAGAACTGCACTGTTCAACTGGAGCAGAGGATGCTCACCATCGATGCTGCTCACACACACACTGCCACATCGCCAGGCATTGCTCTTCCCTCTGGGTACTGACATTTGAATGTGTGCACTCACTGACTAGGTGAAAGAATGAGAGAAGGATACAATACTTCTGTTCTTGTGAGGGAAACAAAAGGCAACATATTTCAAATTTTTCCAGTGGAACTCAATTCTCAAAATACAAATCAGTAAACATTGTCTTTCCTTTCTTGAAAATACTTGAAGAGTAGTGAGGAGCTTTGAAAAGAAAAAAAAAAAAAAAAAAAAGAAGAAAGCTAAAAAAAACTAAAACAAAACAAAAACAAACAAAAACACACAACAAAGAAGCCCAAACCCAAGAGGACAGCACAAGAGCAGAGAGCAAGTAGCACAGGCGGAGACAGGCTGGTAACAAACAGCAGCTGTGCAGGCCCTTGGGAAATCCCCGTGATTGAATCACGACTGTTGACCTCCCAGCCAGGGCTGAAGCACACGGCAAGGCAGGGCATCTTCTGGGAAACAGAAGCCTTTGCTGTGCTACCAGTCTCAAACCTTTCTGATTGCTCTCTGTTAGTCCTTTCCAGCAGCTCTGTACAGTTCCATATTTCACCCTCACGGAGGAATGTGACACTTGCCTAAAAACTTTCCAAGGATGACGACGTGCACACCCCTATGAGTACAAAAGTCACACTGAAGAGTAAATGCAGTAAATATGCCTTCTCTGATCTTGGGATTTTGGAACCCTGCCAAGAACTGGAGTTCCCGTCAGCACTGATGAAAGATACAAATTTTACAGTATGAGCAGGACATGAGGTGAGTGGATGTCAAATAAATTACGATATTCACAGCAAAAGTCAAAGAACACAGAAGCCAAGTAAGAAGTAAGCAAATAAATGATCAGAGTATCTTTCCTGAATTAACAGAAACTTAGGCTCTCAGCATGTTGTTACAGAGTACCATTTTAAGGACCTTGACTGATTACTATCTCTCCAGACTGAGAGCGAATAGTAATGCCCGAGAAGGATTTTGGAAGGTTTCAAAATACCCTAAAGAAAAAAATATAAAGATAATATTCCAAATCTAAATTCTAAAACTAAATCATAATAGAGAGGCGTTACAAAGTACCCATCACTGTGATCTAGATGCATATCTTCTCTAAAATTCATGTCAAAGTAATACATGTATGACAGAGAGAGCTAACCGTAGCTTTTAATGTGCAGACTGAAACACACAGCCTATTTTCCACAAGGATGTTGCTAGTCTAAGATGTTCTAGAGTAGAAACCATCAGCCTATGCAGTGCAGGTATTGCATACTTTCATCTAATTGTTACCTTGAAAATGATAGGACCATGCAGCTTCAATACTCAGAATATTATCAGATCTTTAGCCAGATTAAAGCAGGGTACTATATTTGCTAAACCTCAAGGTAACATGAAAATAGCTATCCATACTCAAAATATTTAGAGCCAGTACAGTCTCTCAGTCAGGGAAAAGTTATTACTGATCACCCCAGTTCTTCCAAGGTCCAGGAACAAAACTGTGTTCCTCGAGTACCCAGGGTTTTGAGTCACTTTCAAAATCATATGGCAAATGAATGTTCTTAGCTGAGGGGCCAGTCCCACTTCCTACATAGTAATGACCCAGGCTGCTGTGGCAACACAAAAGAAAGAGAGTTCTCTCTCGAGTCCAGAGGGTCATCAAGATGATGAAAATGATGGAGTACCTCTCCTGTGAGGAAAGGCTGAGAGAGTTGGGTTTGTTCAACCTGGAAAAGTGAAGGCCTCAGGGTGACCTAACTGTAGCCTTCCAGTATCTGAAGGGAGCTTACAAAAAAGATGGAGAGGGACTTTTTACAAGAGCATGTATTGACAGGACAAGGGAGAATGGCAGTACTGCAAGATGGTGACAGAGAAGGTAGAAACATAAATCTGCACTCAAAACCAGCAGGGATAAGTGGGATTCCACTTATTCTAAATTGTGGGTGACTGCATCTGCAAACAAAAGAGATGATGAAAAGCCTAGTGATTCTCAGTGAAGGTACCATTATAAGAGAGGAATAACAGAAAAATAGTCTTATCTGTCCTCTGCATTCCCCAATATCCTCCTTATAGCTTTCATTCTCGGCAAAGGTGTTTCCTTCTCTTTACTCCCAACACCTAAGCACTGGACTGAATTAACTTGCAGGTATGTCTAGACTACTGCATGTATGATTAATCTAGACTTGAACCTGCAATTATCAGCATTAGAGCTCGTTTTGAGTAGTGTGGAGGTTTTTCTTACAAAATTTTCCCTTTGCATCTTCCAAGCTAGCTCTGAATACTTAAAACACATTTCTCTCTTCTTTGAACATATTACTTTTAAAAACAAAAAAACAAAAAAGCAATCAAGAGCTATGAAAACAGCTTGGAAAAACTAAAGTAGTTTTCACTTTGTTCTTCCAATAAATATTCCTGACAATATTGACTAATACTGAATAGTTAATATTACATCATTTTAAAAGCTATGGTAGAAATTACTGAGTATAGGCAAAAACTTAAAACTTGAGCATCTCACTGTTTCTGATTACAGATGTTATTGGTTGCTGTGGTCTCATGGGGAGGACTTCAAAAACGACCTGTAGTTGCAGCTATATTTACTGACTATTCAGATAAACCCTTGAGTAGATTATCCACTGTATTAAGCTAATGGGGATATTGTCTCCAGAATATTCTTATGGGGTTTCCCTGTTATATGGACGTTATTACGTTAAAACCTTAGTGAATTAATTTCATGGTAAAATACAAAAACAGGAGGAAAAGGGGATGATTTATCCATCTGGAAGGCATCTATATGCAGACAGACAGCTGGTTTTAGCAGACTATATTTTTCCTTTGAATCTATAAGTCAGATCTCAGGTCCAGTATTCTGCTTCCTTTTAAAAAACACAACAGATTATCAAGGGCATAGTGCATATTCAAGGGCTCTGCAGAAGTGCTTCCAGTGTAATATTGCTGGACCAGGGAGGAAACCAGGAAAGAAGTATAAGCAAGCAAAACCCACTCTTCTTTCTGAGCTATATGCAATCAGCACAGGGTCCGTGCTGTGATTTTCTTCCAGTTCCATGTTCAATGCAGTTCTCCCCTTGAGGGAAATCCATGCAAGAGGAAGTGATTTTGTATGTGTCCATACTCTATTTTCATATTTCCACATTTACTATGGCAATTCATTGTTTTGTAAGCCTACCACCATATGATGAAATTTTATTGCATTTAAGCTTCATGATAAGTATAGCACCTAGCATACCTAATTATTACTGCCTATGATCATCACCATAGAAAGCTACATTCCAAAATTGTTCAGAGTAGACAACCCCCCAGTCCCAGGTCCTTCCTCATTATGACACAATTAGTATGATAAATGGGGATGGTTATTTGGTTACAGAAAATAATGGTACTGCTTGCTCATCACAAAATGGGGAGAAATAATTAAATATTACAAGAAATGGTT